TGCATTGCTGAAAATAAAATCAAATAAAATCAACCAATCAATCACCGATATAATAACAACATTTTCTCGTGCGCTTTTTTGTGTTTGTAAAGTCTTTGCGCAAGAGAATCTGTTGTCAAATAAAGCAGCGGTTTTTCGCTATGAATTCGAAAGTGGAGTATTTAACACCGTAAAAAAGTAGATGAAATAACTTATTGACGTTTCGGACGCTAATCCTTCGTCGGAGTCGTTAATCCTTCGACGAAGGATTAGCGTCCGAAACGTCAGTAAGTTATTTCACCTACTTTTTTACGGTGTTAAATTTATCTTTGCGCATAACTGTTTCTTTAGAAACTCCGACGCAGCTCACACTAGTTTACCGCTAGTTCCCACCATTATAACAATAGTACATCCCTACCTTGGTTTACTTTTCTGACTTGACTTGGTTTGTTGATGTTGTTTAGACGGAGCAGGGGCTTTAGACTGTCCAGTTTTAGTTACAGAATTCACAGCTTGGTCCCAGAAACTCTCCTCTTCTTCATCATCGTCATCGTCATCAACATTGGCATCATTACTCAAAGCCATAAATCGAGAGGTTTGTTTGGGGTTCTTGTTGGCGGCACCTCCCCATGCGTTAGCTGGGGTGTTATTAGTATTCGATGCCCAGGAAGAGGAGAGAGATGGGGGATTGTTGCCCCAGACTGTGGAGCTTAGTGGATTATGAGATGGCTGCAGAATAGGAAATGACTTAATTTAACTTCCAAGGTCAAAAGAAGGAACAGTTAACAAATTAGCCATTGGACATTGTCCTGTTAGCAATTTTTGACAGAATAGGAAATGACATAATTTAACTTCCAAGGTCAAAAGAAGGTCCAGTTAACAAACAATTAGTCTCCGATCATAGCCGTTATTTAGTTCGTTCTCTCGAGACAATGTCGTGTTAGCAATTTATGACAGAATAGGAAATGACTAATTTAACTTCCCAAGCTAAAAGAAGATCCAGTTAACAATTAAGACCTTCTTAGAACGTGTATTTATTTTGAAAACTCCCACAATGCTTTGCGGCACAAAATGGCGTCGCTGCACATTGCCTACGTAGTACTACAGGGCATGAGTTGGGGGGTACGATCTTGCGATAGAATGGAATGTGGTTTTGACCGGAAGCGCAAAAAGCAGGAAGTAACACGTGGAGGCATGACAACCGTTTTATTAGCATAAAAAAACCGGAAGTGAAAATCACAAGATGGACTTCTTTGACTTTATTTTAATCATGTGATTTTTCACTTCCTGTCGATCCCACATTCCAATCTACCGGAAGATTGAACCTCCCCAAGTCATGCCCTATACTACTGTCAAGCGATCACGATAAACAATAATATGCTCAGGTTAACAAACTCACATGTGATCGAGAAAGCTGTTGATTCTGTTGTTTTCTTGTTAGTTGTTGTTTTTCTTGTTCGTGTTGTATTTCGAGAAGGGATTTCGCAGGTCCTTTACTACTTCTGTCAGCCCATCCTGCTGCGTTCCGTTGCTGTTGCTGCTGTTCGCGTTCATGCTGCATGAGTCGTTCACGTTCTGCTCGAGCATTTCGTTCGCGYTGTTCTTGYTGTTGTTGGATCTCTGTAAGTGAAGGAGCTGTTGTTGTTGGCGTTGAGCCCCAGAGAGATCCATTGCTTGTCTGTTGGGAATAGAAATTGCCGTCATAATTATCTTGTTTTCTCATAATAGTTTGCAGATCAACATTTTTTAATTTAAAAGAGAGTTCTTAGCTTAATACGCGCATTTGTTCAAAAAGCGAATAAATAGTTATCAAAGAAAGAAAGAAACAAGTCTGAGATCTGTTTTTGAGGCAAAACATCTCATRTAAACTCAGAAATGTCCTTTCTACATTCTTTTTGTCTTAAACTGCGAATCAAATCAATGAGTTGGCCATTAAAGGAACACGAACTTAATTATTATCGCAATGTTGTGATAGATAACCATGGCGCCATATTTATGYTTTGTGACGTCATGACACATTTCAAATCTCCCCCTCCTCAAGTTAAACCCAGAGCCCAGCGGAATCACCCATAACGTACTTTTTTGAAGGAAATGTTTGGGACATACAACGGAATTCTTTTGTTTTCTCTAGAAGCTGATACCACAAWGCATTGCAAATCAAGTAGTGACGTAAAAGCCTCAKAAATCTATTGATTGGTTGATTATTTATCCCTTTCATCCCTTTGCGCCACAATACCTGATTTTGATGTCTTTTATGTTGTAATTTCTGTTGTACTTCTCTTTGCTGTTGTAGTTCTAGTTCTTTTCTTCTCTGTAGTTCTTGTTGCTGTTGTTGTAGTTTCGCTARGGCTTGTTGTTGCTGTTGTCGCATTTCTAACATGCGTTGTTCTTCGAGTCTCTTCTGTTGTTCAAGTTGTCGTTGTTGTTCTAGTTGTCGYTGTTGYTCAATTTGTCTTTGATGTTCGATTTGTTGTTGTTTACGGAGTTCTTCTTCTTGTTTTTGACGCGCTTCTTCTTGTTTTCGTATCATTTCTTCTTGTTTTCTCTAAAATAATAGCAGTTACAGGTAAAAAAACTATTTATATATAAAGACAAAGCACAAACAGCAAAAAAAACAAAACGAAAAGGCCCATACGAAGATTCGCTATTTTTGATTTTGAACCAATCAGAAAGCAACGTTCAACAAGAAATCATTTATTACACTCCTCCGCAGGAGCAGGCGTCTTCCATTCTTTCATTTTGGACAGAAATGCCTTTAACTAAGTACCTCACACGTACTATCAATCTATAATCTATTGCATGCTTGAMGCATTTAACGTATGTAAACAATAACACGAGCACGCGCTGTATTGTGGTTGGTTGGGATTCTTTAATGTCAGTTTTCCCAGTATTCAAGCCGGCTAAAACAACTATGTACGAGAACATACTTTGAGTAATTCTTCTTGTTCTCGTTTCTTCTTTTCGATTTCCTTCTGTCTTTCTTCTTCTTCTCTCATTTTTTGCATTAAATATTCTTTCTGTTTTCTCATCAGTTCYTCTTGTTCCTGCCTCGCTGCTTGTTCTCTTCTTTCATTTTCCATCTAAAATATGAAGAAAGTCTAATGACTAAATACTGACGTACGATGATCGTTTCCTATACCGACGACGGCGAATGCATTAATTGATAAAAAGAAGATACATCATTTTTAAAATGCTTGAAAACGACGCCTCTGTAGACGCCTCTTTCCTTTAAATTTAAAAAAAGTAGCGGGCTTCGTGTGTTAGATCAGTAAGAGGGACTTGACCAGAGCTATATAAAAACTGGAAATGCTTCGGAGGAGGTTAAATGATGCTGTTTTGAGTACCATACCATATGTCTTACCTTTATGGCCCGTTCTTTTTCTTCCTCTAATCTTTGAATTTCTTGTAACGATTGAATTTTATCACTGTTTCTGTGAATTGAAAAAATTATTTAAGAAAACAAACATCAAAATAATTGCTCTAAAATTTTATGATGGGGTGGACATTTTGGTGCACCAATCTTTGTCTAGCCACACGTACAGTAGCAGCCCTCTTTAAGGACATCCACAGGGATCCCAAGCAAACATACTGTTTAACTTACCCGGTATCGACATCCCACGCCCTAGAAACCACTGCACTAGTTGTTGTGGCTGGTGACCACGGTCCTGGTGAAATCATTCCTGTAAAATATAGTTGGAAAACTGTAAGCATTGCTCATTTTAAGACCGATATTTTAAAATACTAAAGGGTGTACATGTACACACCAAAGCAGTGTCGGCAAGGGACAACTTTCATTTCGAAACGAAGCTTCGTCCCTTGTAGTACACAAATTTGGTACTTTTAAAATAAATTGATCGTTCTCAACCCATTCCCATGAGATTCGAAAGATAAAAGACTGGTGGCCATGTTGGAGGAATGAACAATAGATACTACCGTTGTTGAAGTTCCTCCAAGACGTCTTGTGATATAGAGTTATCACACTTAAGCCGTGCAACTGTACAAACTAAGTAGGTCTATTTAGTTGTATTTAGTAAATCGTGCATGCAGTATGCAAATTAAAATGAATTGATACAAATGAAGCATTCAATGCCGTCATGCTTCAGGTCCACTTTTAGTACAAATTAGCACTACTTACATGTAGATTTTGTACAGTTTCACGGTTTTTAAAAGTGCGTTCACTCTAACTTGAAAACGAAGAACACACTTTGCCCAAAAAGACAATATGTGTGCATTAAGGTAAATTACCAATGTCATAAGCCCGGATAATTTCTGATAAACAGCATTGGGTAATTTAAATACCTGGGGATGTAGATGTTGTACCCGTTGGTCCCCAAATCGATTCCGATGYAACACCCAATGCTTGTGGCCTCTGTTGCTGCTGTTGCTGCTGCTGCTGTTGTTGAAGATGCTGTAAATGTTGTTGCTGCTGATGGTGCATGTGTTGTTGTTGTAGTAGTTGTTGTTGTTGYGATTGYTGTTCTGGTGTTATATGTTGTGGTGGTAGTTCTGATGGGGGTGCAGTGTGTTGAGGTTGTGTTGACGGTATGTTGCTAGTGGGTGCTGGTGGTTGTTGGTCTTGCTGGTGGTGCATTTGTAGTTGTTGCTGTTGCTGTTGATAAAAGTCAAATCAAACAATCAATCAATCCATCAATCAGTCAATCGATCGATGAATCAAACATTCAATCAATTGATCAGCCAACACACTGGAAAAAATCGCGCGCTTTAAAGGTTGTAAATTTGATGTATTTATGATGTAAGTGTCCAAAATTCTGTAAATTTAATGGAAATCGTTTACATCAAATTTACAGAATTTTGGACGCTTACATTATATTAACATCAAATTTACAACCTTTAAAGCGCGCGATTTTTTCAAGTGAACAATCAATCAACAACATCATTCAATCATTGAAGCCAACATCATTCATGTATCAATCAATTAAACAATCAATCAGTCAATCAGGGTTGGATACTGTACAAATACTGTACCTGTAACATGAGAGCTTGTTGTTGTAAAAAGCGTTGTTGTAGTATGTGCTGCTGTAAAAGTTGCTGATATTGCTGTTGTGCAAGAAGCTGCTGCTGCTGCTGCTGCTGCTGTTGAAGTTGTTCTGGTATGCCCTACAATAAAGTAGCGTTAGTAAATTTTACAAAAATTGAACAACCCATTTTTCCAAGGTGAAATGAACAGCACTCATAGCCTACTTCGCAGGCTACTCCACCGGAAACGGACATTTTTCTCTTCTTGGTCTTCCTGTGTTCATAATCTTGACCGAGAAGAACTGGTGTCAAGAGACTAGGAACAACTGCTTCTCCTTCCTTCCTAGCCCCCTCTCCCTCCGGAAGCTTTTTTGCCTTAACACAGGAATCCCACAGAGTAGATTTGGCAACGAAGGAGGCTACAGCAGTCATACAGTAGAAAGAGAAAAAGAAGTGGAAAACGGATCTTTACACAATGCACTTATGTACTTTACCTTGAATGGCGGTGGTTGCGGCCCAGCAACAAAGGGAACTCTCCCCCATGACTTAATCAAATCACCTGAAAACAATTCAAAAGCATAAAAGTTAATTCTTTCACTAACTGTCATATTTATCCAAAGACATTATTCCACAAATTATATATTAGGCACTCACGTCTTTAATAAAACAATTGTAACTTGTACAAAACTCTGCTGATAGAGCATCGGTAGTACAAATCCGAAGTCGTTTGTTAGAATCCCCAGCAACATCGGAAATTGATTTTTCCGAATTTATTTCCAAGTGTTTTTTACCTGGAATTTTCTTGTTGCTCGTTTTAATCCCGAAGTTCCACCTCAAGTGTATTGCAGTTAAAAAGCATCTTACCTAGAGGCTGGAATGCATCATCGATGGAACGTTTGATCATGAGATTCATAGTAAAATATCCATGTTTGAACCAGTCAGCCATTTCTGCATTACTGAATGGACCTTAACGAAACAAGGGAGAATCATTTTAGATCGTTAGTAACTGAAGAAACATAATCTTATAACTTTAAAAATCACCTTGCATTTTCCCTTGAGGATCGGTGTAATACCATTTAATATCATCTGGTTGGTTTGAAGGAGCAGAAACGGGGGAGGTACGTAAACCAGGGGGGTGCACATCAGGGTCTGACTTTTCAACCTAAAAAAACATCATCGTGACATAACGTACATTGAATTTATTAAACTGCTTGTAACGACGTAAAAGTATTGAAAGCTGGTGGATGGAAATGGATTTTCAGGTTTGTCATCTCCAGTTGCCAGTCGGCGAATATGTATAACTTCTAGAACTCATTAATAATTTATGAGCTATTAGTCCAATCAGAATTCAACTATTGGGTCACATGATGGGCCTTTATATCTGATAATAGTACTGATGTTTTATTAATCAGTTCTATATCAGATATAAAGAACTGATGTTGAAGGTCATCAGCGCTGTATCGCAACCCAACACTAGCAAAGGTCTCAGTTTTAATGTCGCATCATAGACCTTTGCTAGGTTTTAAATCAGTTTGAATCAATGTATAGCATAGACTAGCCGTTCTTACGTGTGGGATCAAAATTCTTTCATTTGTGACAAATGCACATGCTCAGTAGAAGTTTAACATGCATAATATCTGTTTTCGCATTTTTTAGCTTTTTTCTAAAATGATAACAATTTCTGGATGTTGGAGTTCTAGAAGTAGTATAAAAAACTTGCAGTCGTGCTTTATCAGGGATATAGACACTCGGCCTTTGGCCTTTGGCCTCGTGTCTATATCTCCCGATAAAGCACTCCTGCTCATTTTTTAAACACTACATATAAAATCAATATTTTGCATAGCACATTACCTCGTCATCCAAGGACATGACAAGGTTTTCAGCAGCTTTTGCAAAATGTTCCATGTTGGGTTCTTCCTCCCTTTTGTCATCTTCTGCTTGATTATTTTGAATGACTGCAGGGGGAGTGTGTCTGTCTTTTTCTTCAGATTTTGCAGTGCTGACAACAGGACTAGAAAAAAAAAAATCATCATCATCATCATCACTGCCATTCAATCAACTATCTGTATTATTACAAATATTGTATGTACAGTATATGCGACCAAATTTGTGACAATAGAAAGGCTTTCATCTTTGTTGGAATCCAAAGGCTTTTTAACAATAATCACTAAGTACTGTTAAGATCATGCTTACTACTTACTACTCCAGTTGAAAGATCTTATTTGTGCAGCCTTAACCTCAAAAGCATGTACATGCAATACATCCCTTTATTCAGATCTAATAGCCGACTTGCGAGTTTTGCCTCAGTAGTCACACACAAAGGAATCAAGACGAGGTGCCGGGCATAAAGCTCAGTCATTCGTGAAAAGACAATAGTTTGTCAAAATTGACAGAGCTTTAGGCACAGCGCCTCGTCTTGATTCTTTTGTATGTGACTATTGAGGCAAAACTCGCAAGTCGGCTATTGTAATGCAAAATCTCTTTGTACAAAGAAGACAATAGAAATGCATGCTTGATTGAAGCTAAGCTTGCAGAAAAAAGATTTCGAAACTGGAGTATTCGTAACATAATTCCCACAAAAAAGAGCTAAAACTTTGGATGTACAACCATGTACTCTATTACATCAACAGCCTTCACTCCCATTGTCCCTATCAGTCCTGTAATCACCTTGGTTGTTCTTGGGGTTTAGATGAAGCAGTAGATACTTGTTCAGTTACTGGAGGCGTAGATTTAGGTTCAGGTTCTTTGGGTTGAGAAGGTGGTGATTTACTAGCGGGTGGTTGTGTAGTAGCTTTATTTGATGGTGATTTTTCCTCTGGTTGAGTTGGTTGYGGTGGTTTTTCATCTTGAGCTTCCTCGTCTTTGGATTTCTTTTGCTCACTATTTACTGACTGAAAATGGGAATGGAATGGAATGAGAACTGGGAGKTTTGAGAAAAAAATGATCAATGCATAAATATACATGGTCAAAAACATAGTACATAAGAGCTGATAAATGTAAAACTTATTCACCCACAATATTTATATTAAATATTGACACAACATTGTGAAATTTAGTCTTCCTTTAAGCCATTTAAATGGACAATGTATGGTCAAATTTTTAGTTTGAAAAACTTCATACATGTAAAAGCTATTCTCCACTGCCAATAATATGCTATTTTCAATTTTACAATTCAWAGCTGAGCCTACATGTACATTTGGYACCCTTTGTTYAATCCTACATGCAGGACAACTATAATTTGTCATTGATAATTTTCAAGATGAACCAATATCTTGCTTTAAACAAAATGTTTGTCTATTGTTTGAGATAGTACACTCTGGTACAATGTTACTGTGTACACATACATGTCTTTGTCAAACTCRATGTTWATCAAGGCACCACGAATGCATCTTGTCACAATTCATGTAACAATGTCTCTCACCTTTTGAGATCTAAAAGCCCCAGAAGAGTCAAACGTCCCAGTGACATCAAACTCTCCCATATCGTCATCTCGGCACCATTCTGGTTCTGTAGGACTCACCCATCGATTGTCCTCTCTTTCATGGTATGACCGRGAACGACCACTTCGCGCAACTTGCCATTCTTCCTCTGGGAAKCCTCKTTCATCACGGAAAGAATCAGAGTTTCTCCAGGAAGCACTTCTTGTCATTTTAGAACCTTTGAAAGTGGAAATGAAATTCATTATTTTTAAATATTCAGACTTCATGGAGGCCATTTTCACTGTCCATTTTTGAGCCAATTTTTGTGTTGGTTTTTGCAGTCATTTTGAACCAGGTTAGTACATGTTAATAATACTATTAAAGAATTGTAAAGCTTTATTCAGTACAGTATACCAGAATGAACTGAATAAATGTAACTTCACAAGGATAAGACAGAATCTATGTATTTTTGGAAATTGCCTGAAAAACATCAGGGAAAATTGCCAGTATGAACTAGCCTTGACTGTTGTCTAAAAGCCCATTTACACTTGCAATTTTTGCAGCGCAATAATYGCCACTTTGCTATTGTGCAACTAAAATCGTACATGTAAATAGTCCAGTGATTGTTGTGGCGATGGGTTATTCCTGTGAAGTTGTAGCCAATTTTGAAGCATGTTCGACTGCGGCAAAAACCACAAGTGTCTTTTAAGACACTTAAAACGTCTTAAAAGACACTTAAAACGTCTTAAAAGACGGGCCTTAAGACTCTTGATAATGCAAGGATGGATTTTGACTAACCTCTCCAGCGATCAGATTTATCCCTTTGACCAGAGATTCTCCACCCTCCTCCCCCATCCTCATCGTCTACCCTTCCACTAGAACGCCATCCATCAGAATCATTTCTGTCCCAGCTTGTATCACTTGACAATCTGCTTCGTAATGTTGGATCATATCCTCTACCTAGTAGAGAAAGTCCTTGTGTTTTAATACAAAATATCTCTTGTACAATATAGTTAGGTGGATATGTGAAGAATTTAGATCGAATTGTTCACTTTAGGGTTAAAATAATGACACTTGAGGAAAATGTCTTTGAATGCCAGGAATCGATTCTGATACATTGTCAATGCAAAAATCGATGCAGTGGGGAATTACGAGGATTTTTCAAAATGGCTGCCATTTTGTACCGGAAGTAAAATTTCAAAGGGCAATACATCTATCACAATACATATTTTAAATGGTTTAATTTGTAAAGTAAAAACTAACGCAAGTAAGTTTRTATTTGTGATCATTTTAATTTGAGCTCGACGTTTCGACGCTTAAATGGTTTAGTGCAATTTAACAACAATTATGTTGATGGTTCATGTTTATGTATATCTTTTAAAAATTAAGCAAAATACACAATTTCACAATATTAACAATCATTTACCTGCAACTCCTCTGTCAAACCCCCCTCTGTCATATCCTCCTCTCCTACAATTTTGCATTATAAAGAATTACATGACAATCTAATGCAAAGCACATTATATCTATAATGAAATATAATACAATTTATATATTTTTTGAAATGGAGATTGGTTGGCCTTGCATGTGAAACCCACCACTTTTCAAATCTTTTTTCGATTCATTATTAATATACCATTTCATTGATAGCTCATCCATGAAATCAGCGAGTGAGCAATCATTAACAGGGTCCGGGCAGAGTATCAAAAACAAAATTTAAGGACTTTTCAAGGACTTTTTCAAGAACCAAAATTGTATTTTCAAGGAGCATTAAAATCATGCTAATTTTACATTCTTACCTCAAAACTTCAGCCGAACGGAATAATTCAGAGATCGCTAGCGCTTTGTGATAGACATCCATCTTTTTCAAGGAGTTTTCAAGGACTTTTTCGAAATTTTCAAATTTTCAAGGAGTTTCAAGTGCCCTTGAAAACGAGTTTTCAATTCAAGCACTTTTCAAGGATTTAAGGACCTGCACGGACCCTGATTAAACACCACTGAAAAGAACTAAAATTAAATAAATCTACAAAAAAAAAAATCCATTGAAAAGTCAAGAACATGCAGCACTTCAAAAACAGCAGAATTTACAAGGAAATGGATGATGAGGTAGTATTAAACCACTCAACCTCACAGTACATTTCTTTGTAAAATKCTGTGTATCTGAGAAGCTCAAATTTCTCCAATTGTCAACTGATTTTTCTCAAATTTTGTAAAAGTTTTTTGATTTTTTTTTTGATTTTCTGTTCAAAGTTATCCATGAAATCACATATTGTACTGTCATCGTCATTATTTCTCATCGCTCCAGGAGGTGCATAAGRCCTTATAATTATTGTTACTTATACATGCACCAGATATTTATTTCAACACACCTTCCCTCCTCCCAACTCTGTCTTCTTGGRTCACGTACATAGCCAGAATCACTGCGGGAATCTTCATAGGATGACTGCCGCATAAATCCACCATCGCCACGCCCTCTTCCTAAAGGCACATATAATAACAACATAACATGTTTGTAAATGGGRATAAATGCACAGGAACGGTATAGCTTTGGACTTATAACAATAATATTCTCTGTCTCAGTTTAATCTAGTTTTGTATCAAGACTGTGCATTGTACTTTTTTCTATTGTCCTTTTTGTACATGTACACTCACCTCTACCACCAATKCCACCCCTCACACCCCTTGATGCCCCTCTTGGAGCTCCTCTTCCCATTAGCTTTAAMACTGCATTACTGTTTACCGAGCCTGATGAATGACGCTGTAAACAAACAAATACACAATTATGTGAACACTGATCAACATTGAAACTAACATTTTTTTTGACCTGGCAAAATATGATAAAGTATTGATATGCTGTCAAGTCACAGGTTTACATATATAAAAATGTTCTTTAATAAATTTACTGCTCAGTTTTAGGGTGACATTTGAGTGCAGTTCTAGTAAAAATGTGAATAATGATAAATGAATTGTAAGTGAAACAATAAACAGCTCTCAAAATTGAATACTAAGTCTCCTTCATAGTTTCCTGCACCATCTTGAAAGGTAAGTGTACTATAACTGTAAAGTCCAATATAAATAAAGGATATTAAAGGATGTATGGGCGTGTGTAGATACAGATTATATTTTTGAGTGTTGAAAAGATCTCTCACAAGTGAGCATAGCAAACATGAGAAGATAAAATCTGTATCTCCAAGGGACGATGTAATATTCTGTTTATCATACAATTACATATGAAAGCAAATTGTGTCGTAAAATATCTTTTTTCTTACTCCACTATATAGAGAAACCTCAAATGTGTTATTTAAACTTGTGAAAATAACAACTTTATGAAATGGAGAAATATTTATAGATAATTATTTATAGATAATTATAAAATTTTTCAAGATTTAGCAGGGAAATGACAAGGACACCATTGAGAAACACTGGTATCAAAATTTCACTAGTGAAATGTTGGCTACAAAATTTGTATAATTTATTTGTTATTAATTTATTCAATTTACTTTATTATCATCTATAACCAAGTTGCCCATCAGAGTCAGTACTAACCTGTTCTTCTTCAGTGGGTGGAATAAAAGCCAAAGGGAAGTGAATCTTATCCTTTGAAATGGAAGAGAACCGTTCAAGTTCCACAGGTTTCACTAAATCTTCAATAAACAATGCAAGCATCTCTTCTTTGCCATAGCGAAACTCTGCTAACTTGTACTTGGGACCAGGAGAGGGGGGAGGGGAGGTGACACTGTTGCCACTAGAGAGATTACGCAGCCTGAAACACAATAAATGGGAATTTGTATGAAAAATGAGAATTTTTTAAAGAAAATAATGCAAATACTGAAGGTCAAAATGCAGACGGTCTCAGTTGGTGTTCAACTACCTGCATAATATTTCATATTATGATTATACTTATCCAATAATTTTTGAATATCATAAACCTCAGCCAATAATTTCCAATAAGAAATTATTATTTAACAGTCAATTTGATCCTATCGGAGGTCTTCTTTGCATTGCAGAAGGTTATTATTTTATTATATAAATGTCAGCTGTAAGGAGTTTTGAATAACAAAGAAATTGAAACAACATAGTTCAACATTGACTGTATGACTGTGTTTTTTTTTCCTTTTTTTCTGCCCAAAAAATGCGTATATATGTTAAAAAGTTACTGTACTGCAAAGATTCTGCACAATCACATATGTGCACTCATAAAATACGAAAAGCGTGATTGAAATAGAAATTATAGTCGCTATCTTTTAACAATAAAATAAACCTTCCGAATAAAAACTATACAGGCCTAAACAATTATTTCAATGTATTTTTATTGTCAGCAAGCTCCGACTGAGTCTTTGTTTTTGTGTGCAGTATAATGCATAGAAAAGCTTTCAACAGACTAGCCATTGATTGCTACAATAATCCATGTGCTATATTGATTTCCAACCAAAACTTTAACACTAAAGTCAGCTGATAATCCCACRATAACACATCCCAGAAAACAAGAAAACACCATTCATTTCGTAAACAAAATATGTAAAGGCTTGCGCTCAAGGCAGCTGGACTGCTTTACTGTGACGAGCACAACAGATGATGTTTACAGACGAACGTAGTACATGTAGTTCTTACCACTGAGGTCCAAAAGTGAGCGTTTCCGACATTATCTGCAAATCAAACCAAATGAGATAATTAGAAGGACATTTTAACAGTTTGCTTCAACGACTTACAAGACTGAACTGCAAAGAGTAAGAGGCAACTCAGCCGCAATGGTCTACCTGAGGTTTAAAACTCGCTCTATTTTGATTGAGTCGAGTGTGCGATGGCAAAAATTTATGAAATTCAGCTAGCACTGGTCGCAAAAATGGCGCTTACAGACATCTAGAATTGACCAATTTTCTGCATTTAAAGCTTGCAAAAGATAGACTATACATGGAATGCATTTAGGGGGATAAAACTAAGTCTGTACCGTTTGTTTGTTGAAGAAATTCTCGTTCAAATCCCGCTGATTTACTGTGCC